GGGTAGAGACTCAGTTTTCTTTGGAGGTCACGAATGAGTATTAAAGGGCCCTCTTCTCAGTCCTTCTGTACTCCGGGCTAGCCTGGGCTGAGCCCATCTCCCTAACCCCACAGGCCTGGGTTCTGAGGAGAACATAATGGTGACTATGGAACTGGGCTCCCCCCTACTCCCCAAGAAGAGCCTGCCTGTCCCTGGGCCCCTGGAGCAGGTGGCCAGTCGGCTGAGCAGCAAAGTGGCTGTAGAGGTTCCCCATGGCAGCAAGCAGGAGCTGCCAGACCTCAAGGGTGAGTGGTCCAGGCAGCAGGCGGGGTCGGGGTACTGGTTCTATTCACAGGGGTGTTCTTGAGCCTGGGCATTAGCGAGGGCCTTAGCGAGGGTGGCCCAGTTTTGTCTCTAGGCCTCTGAGGACCTGTGTGTGTGGTGTTCAGGAGTGGGTGCCTAAACTCAGTCACTCACCCATTCAAGTCTTCTTTATGCCGTCTTGTGTGGTCTTCCATGAGACCCTGATTTGTCCATCTGTTGTTCTTAAAGTCAAACGGCTTTATGTATGTAGTGACAGTCACCATGCGAGACCCAGGGTTATGAGGTAAGCAAGTAGACCAGGTTCTGGCTCCCCAGGGTCATTATTGTTAGGGGGCAGAGATACAGGCAGGGGTCAGGACTCTGCAGAAAAGTACATGGACCACAGGACATTGAGAGCACAAGCTGAACCCCCTAGGAGGTGCCAGTGGATCAGTTTGTGAACCCTGTTACCAGGCTCCAACGGGTACGTTAGAGATCTGAAAGGAGTTCCACTGGGCAGACCTGGGAGGGTGGATGAACTACACACACTTGGGCACAGTTCTTCCCCTCTCTGAGACTCAGTTTCTTTATGTGCACACTGGACAGACCCATTCCTGCCTCCAGAAAGTGATTGTAAGGATTAAGGGACAGCAATGAGCCTTTGACAGCAATGAGCCCCTTGCAGGATCCCCCGAGATGAGTGGGGCTGGGGGCGGGGGGTGGCTGTGTATGGGCAGGGACCGGCTGGCCTCACCAGCTGCTCTCTGGACCTCCGTGTTGCTCTTCAGCCCAGAGCCTGACCACCTGCGAGGTGTGTGGTGCCTGCTTCGAAACGCGCAAGGGCCTGTCGAGCCATGCACGCTCCCACCTGCGCCAGTTGGGGGTGGCCGAGTCGGAGAGCAGCGGCGCCCCTATTGACCTTCTCTACGAGCTCGTCAAGCAAAAGGGCCTCCCCGACGCACCTCTAGGGCTCCCCCCAGGCCTGACCAAGAAGTCCAGCTCACCGAAAGAAGTGGTCACTGGAGCCCCACGGCCTGGCCTGCTTGCTCTGGCCAAGCCCCTAGAAACCCCCGCTGTCAACAAGGCCATCAAGTCACCGCCTGGCTTCTTGTCCAAGGGCCTCTCCCACTCCCCCAGTGCCCCACTCCTCAAGAAGACACCACTGGCCCTGGCGGGCTCCCCAGCCCCGAAGAACCCTGAAGACAAGAGCCCCCATCTGTCACTGAGCCCCCGGCCGGCCTCCCCAAAGGCACAGTGGCCCCAGTCGGAGGATGAGGGGCCCCTGAACCTCAGTGAGTGTGGGTCCTGGGAGCCTGGGGAGGTCCTAGCACTGGGAGGGCCCGGGATGGGGTCAACAGGACTGCAGCTCCCACATCCCAGGTCTGCCAGGCCAGAGGGATTGTCACTGTGGCTGACTCTCCCTTAGGGCCACATGCAAAGGACTTTCCTTCCCACCGCCCCTCAATGTTCTTCCTGAGGCTGGGCCCCAGCTGCTAATCCTTCCAGGGGCAGCCTCACCACCTAGAAGCAATTCTGTCTTCCCCAGGCAGGGACAGTGAAGGTAACTAGGGCTGCACCTTGTCCTGTAGGCAGATAGGTGATCTTTGAAGGTGGCCCTGTGTTCATGTCCCTCTCCTCATCTGCCTGTCTTCCTGGATGTCCCATGCTGGGATCAGGTGTCTCCAGCTATGCCCCACCTGTTGGCTCAGCAAGTGGCTCAAGAAGAAATCCTCCAGCACAGTGGGCAGGGGCTAGTAAGGGTGTCCCTTAGAATGCCAGGTCCTTCCACAGATAGGGTCATTAGTGTCCCGGCGCCTCCAGGACCCACCCGTTGCAGAGTGGGACACTCTATTGTCCCTTCACACTCTGCCTCCACCAAGTCTGCTGAGGTTCCAGGAGCCGGACCCTGGCAGGTCTGGCGTTGACTCTGGGATGCAGCCAGGCGGGTGGGGGTGGGCTCTACTGTCCACCCTGCATGCCTCCCAGCACTGACACCCCTGGGGGAAAGTGCCATTGCCTCTTCATCCTGAATACATAATGTCTCCTTTGCTTGCTTTTTACCTGGTGGCCAAGGACTAGGCTAGGTAGAGACCAGGCCCTCCTCCTTTCCAGAGTTTAGTAGTCCCTGTGCAGCCTGAGTTCGGGAAGACACCCCACCCCAGCCCTGGCTGCTTGGTCAACCAAGTGTCTCAGCAGCCCTCCGTCCTCCAAGCCCAAGGCCGGCCTAGGTGGCGGCCGTGAACTCCCCTGTGTTTTGTCTCCGCAGCTTTAGATAGTGACGGGGGCCGAGAGCTGGACTGCCAGCTGTGCGGTGCCTGGTTTGAGACCCGCAAGGGCCTGTCCAGCCACGCCCGCGCCCATCTGCGCCACCTGGGCGTCAGCGACCCGGACGCCAAGGGATCCCCCATAGACGTGCTCCACGGGCTCATCCGGAGGGACGGCGTCCACCTCCGCCTCCCACCAGGGCGCGGCGCCCTGGCCCAGCCTGGGCGGCCTCCTCCCACCTCCGCAGCCCTCTCTTTGCTTCCCCCCCCACCGCCGGCCAAGAGGGCCAAGCTGAAGGCCATGGGTGCGGCCGGCCCCTGGGGGAAGCAGGACCTCTCAGCTGCCGCCACTGCTGGCATTTTCTGGGCCTCTGATGTGGAGACGGCTCCTCTCAACCTCTGTAGGTTCTCGCTTCAGCCGCCCCCCCACTCCCTGCGGGCCCTGGAGCCCCTCCCGGGGGGTCATGCTCCCCTCCTAGCAGGGACAGGGAGGAGACTGGGGCCCTGGGCAGTAGCCCAGCACTGCCTGGAGACCTTGTTGGCAGTGGGGCTGCTGAGCCCTTGCTCTTGGCCTCTGACCTCCATGACCCTGACTCTCGCTGAGAATTAAGGCCAAGGGGCGGGTCTTGCCTTTTGGTGTGAAACTTGACCATGGGCACCCCCAACTGGAAGGCCTGTGGCACCTAAAGGCTGCATAGCACCCTCCTCCCTGTCCTTGCTGTCACATGTCCGAATAGCTGTGGCATCTTGGTGCCACCCCCACCTTACTCCTCAGCCCCCTCGCTCACAACTGTCCTCCACCACCACCCCACATGTGGGCGAGCTGCTGCCTGAGCCCAGCTGGCCTGAACGCGCTGCAGGTGACAGCATTGCCATGCCAGCTGCCTGCCCCTGATGCTGACTCGTCCTCTCTCCTCTCCCACTGCAGCCTCAGGCCCCGAGCCGACCAGAGACATCCGCTGTGAGTTCTGTGGCGAGTTCTTCGAAAATCGCAAGGGCCTGTCAAGCCACGCACGCTCCCACTTGCGACAGATGGGCGTGACCGAGTGGTACGTCAATGGGTCACCCATCGACACACTGCGGGAGATCCTCAAGAGACAGCAGGTCCACTCCCGGCCCGGCGGACCCCCAAATCCATCAGGCCCCGGTCCCAAGGCCCTGGCCAAGATTGTGGGTGGTCCAGGGAGCTCACTGGAAGCTCGCAGCCATGCCGATCTGCACCTCTCACCCCTGGCCAAGAAGTTACCACCACCACCAGGCAGTCCCTTGGGCCATTCACCAACAGCCTCTCCACCCCCAACGGCCCGGAAGATGTTCTCAGGCCTGCCTTCCTCCCTGCCCAAGAAGCTGAAGCCTGAGCAAATGCGGGTGGAGATCAAGCGGGAGATGCTGCCGGGGGCCCTTCACGGGGAGTCGCACCCGTCCGAGGGGCCCTGGGCGGTGTCTCGGGAAGACTTGACCCCACTGAATCTGTGTAAGTGACCCTGGGGGGGCAGGGACAACAGCAGAGGGGGCTCCTCTCCACTTCCCTGTTGGGTATCCCAAGCACCCAAAGGTAAAATGGGCTGGGGGAGGCACAGGCCCAGAGGATGAGAGGGGTTCAATCTGCTACTTAGACCCCCACCGTCATCCCCCACTACTAAATTGTAGAGGTGGTAAGAAGATTCTGTGGCATATTCATTTGATTGGTAGTGGCTACCAACCAGAACTGAGACAGACAGACTGCTGGGATCTATCAGTGGTGTCTGCTGTGGGCAGTGGTGTGGGTTCTTTGTTCGTTTTCTTATCTGGACTTTTCTAGTAATTGAGTAGACATCCCCGTTTGGCACAAATAGTTAATGTACTCAGCTACTAACCAAAAGGTTGGAGGTTCGAGTTTACCCAGAGTTCCCTTGGAAGAAAGTCGTGGAGATCTGCTTCCAGAAAAGTCACAACATTGAAAACCCTATGGAACACAGTTCAACTCTGACACACATGGGGTCACCATGAGTCAGGGTTGACTCAGTAGGACTTTTTTTTTGGTCAAGTAAATGTTTGAAATTTGGCATCAGGCTTGAGTCTAGATCTCGGTTCCCCAACAATCTAGCCGTGAATGATGGCCTTGGACAAGTTTCCTCATTTGGAGGCTCCAGTGGGGTGAGGCGCTTTACCCAGTGCCTGGTGGGAGAAGGCACTCAGTAGGTGGTAGTTACGATGTCACCTCCGCTTGCTTCTCACTTTGTACCCAGTCTACTTGGAGTCAGCAGACTGGGTGCCCCAGAATGGTGCCTCAAGCTGCTGTCACCGCACATTCTCCCAGTAGCACCAAGAAGTGGGGAGTTTCCAGTTCTTTTCCCAAGGACAAGACTGAGGCTCAGAAAGGGAAAACCGAGGCCCAGGGAGGAGAAGCATCTCGTCACGTGGGATCAGCAACAACCTAGCATTTGACCCCAAAGGCTAGGCAGTGCTTTGTCAGTACCCTCCTTGGTGTCTAGGAAAGACAGCGTGAAGCCTGGTAGGGTTTGTGTTGCAGAGAGCCAGCAGCAGGACTGGGTGTGGACAGGGCCTCTGGTGCACAAATGGGAAGTGAGCTAGTGGGTCAAGCAAGCTCAGAGTCTTCCTGCCCGCAGCCGCTGCCTCCTTCTCCCCCCCTTCCCTGCCCCTCCCAACCCTCCCCGGACCCTCTGCAGCATCCCGGGCCGAGCCAACACGTGACATCCGCTGCGAGTTCTGTGGCGAGTTCTTCGAGAACCGCAAGGGCCTGTCGAGTCACGCGCGCTCCCACCTGAGGCAGATGGGTGTGACCGAGTGGTCCGTCAATGGCTCTCCCATCGACACGCTGAGGGAGATTCTCAAGAAGAAGTCCAAGCCGTGTCTTATCAAGAAGGAACCCCCTGCTGGCGACCTGGCCCCAGCCCTGACCGAGGAGGGGCCTCCCACCGCCCCTGGGTCGCTGCAAGCCCCTCTGCCACTGGCGCCCCTGGTGGGTCGACCTGGCAAACCGGGAGTGGGGCCTGCCCAGATCCCACGGGAGCTCAGTCTGACACCTATCACAGGAACCAAGTCCTCAGCCACTGGCTACTTGAGTACTGTGGCAGCCAAGCGGCTGTTGCAAGAAGACCGCCTCCTCCCCTCAGAGGTCAAGGCCAAGACCTACATCCAGACTGAACTGCCCTTCAAGGCCAAGACCCTCCATGAGAAGACCTCCCACTCCTGTAAGCGGTGGGCGGGGAGGGCCAGGCCGGGCTCACACTGGCCCCAGGTGGTAGCTCAGTGGGGAGTCCCCAGGAGAGGCCGGGTCGGCCCCCGGCCCCGAGCGGGCTGTCTGGGTCCTCAGGCCCCCTCTGGGCTGTGGCTCAGTAGCACCCCTTCACCTGCAGCCACCGAGGCCTGCTGTGAGCTGTGTGGTCTCTATTTCGAAAACCGCAAAGCTCTGGCCAGCCATGCACGGGCTCACCTGCGACAGTTCGGCGTGACCGAGTGGTGTGTCAACGGCTCGCCCATCGAGACACTAAGCGAGTGGATCAAACACCGGCCCCAGAAAGTGGGCGCCTACCGCAGCTACATCCAAGGTGGCCGTCCTTTCACCAAGAAGTTCCGCAGCGCAGGCCATGGCCGCGACAGTGACAAGCGACTGGCCCTTGGGCTGGCACCTGGTGGCTTAGCTATGGTCGGCCGCAGCACTGGGGGTGAGCCGGGTCTTGAAGCCGGCCGAGCGGCCGATGGCGGGGAGAGGCCTCTGGCAACCAGCCCACCAGGCCTGGTGAAGGCAGAGGAGCACCAGCGGCAGAACATCAATAGTGAGTGCAGGGGGCAGCCAGTGACCTCATGTGCGTCTGCTGACCCCGTGTCCTCACGCTCACACACCCTCTCTTGTCTAGTTGTCTATGCGTCATCATCCTGCTTAATTAGCTTGCTTATTTCAGCACTCATCAGTCATCCATCCACCATCCTACACTGTCCCAATTTCCATCCAGGTAGTGGTCCACCACTGGCCATCTTTGACAAACCCCACAGCATCTGTCCCTGGTTGTTGAAGGCAGGCAGGCACCTTCCCAGCAAACTAGCCCTTGGGCTCACCTTTTGCCCCTTTTCCCCAATCAGAATTTGAACGCCGACAAGCCCGCCCACCAGACACAGCCTCAGCCCGGGGTGGCGAGGAAGCCAGTGACCTGCAGCAGAAGTTGGAGGAGGCCCGGCAGCCCCCTCCCAGGGTCCGACCCGTGCCCTCCCTGGTGCCCCGACCCCCCCAGACCTCACTTGTCAAGTTCGTTGGCAATATCTACACTCTCAAGTGCAGGTATGTAGCCACCAGGGAGGGAGGGACATCATCCAGTGGGGGCCGTGCCGCTGAGAGTCTCTGGACAGCACCAAGTCTCTGCCATTGGATGTGGCTGGTCACAGGCTAAGTGCTCCTCACAGAGCTTCAGGCTGAGACCCAAAGCTTTGAGTTTGAATCCCAGCTCAGATACTTCACAGTTTGTGACCTTGGACAAGGACTGCTCCACGCTTCCATTCTCCAATCTGTGAAGTCGGTCAAGAATAGACCTACCTAACAGATCTTCTGTGACACTGTAAATTAATGCATCAGATGGCAAAGCCGTTTAAACTGCAAGGTTGGTGGGGGATTCAAGCTTACCAGGCACTCCTCGGAAACCTATATACAGGGTCGCTATGGGTCGGAACTGAGTCGACAGCACTTAACAACAACAGTAGATCTGTAGTGAGGATTGAATGAGTTTAGTATTTATAAAGATATCAGAACTGGACCTGAACTTGGTGTCAGAAGGGCAGGAAGAGGGAGTCTGAGTGTGAGTGTGGGCAGGTGGGTGGGTTAGTTCCTTTTCTGGTTCAGAAGCCCCTTGGCCACGAACTGATTTCCCGGGCCTTCTCTCATCTCAGATCACATGCCTGCCTAAGATGGACAAGATACATTGGAGGCCAAGTGGTCCTTAACTAGTCCCAGAACCAGCAAAGTGCCCTAAGCAAGGACGGGGCCTACAGGGGGTCCCACCCATGACCCCATGAGGGACACAGGTAGCTGTCTATTGGGAAACATTTGACTTCTGGGTGCCCTCCCTTCAAACCTTATTGTTGTCAAGTGCCGTCGAGTCAAATCCGACCCATAGTGACCCTGTGTAGGGTTTCCAAGGAGCAACTAGTGAGCTTGAAGCACCGACCTTGCAGTTCAAACGACTTTGCCGTCTGACGCATTAGCTCACAGCGCCACCAGGCCTCCCACTGTGCTCCCAGAGTAGCAGCTTGGTGGCTGACCCCAGGACTGGATCAGACTGCTCAGGAACTTGGATAGCTACTCATCTGCCTCTCCTGACAGCGGTGGCCACTCCTTCCGCTCTGTTCATTTCCACAGGTTCTGTGAGGTGGAATTCCAGGGCCCCCTCTCCATCCAGGAGGAGTGGGTGCGGCACTTACAGCGACACATCCTAGAGATGAATTTCTCCAAAGCGGACCCCCCGCCCGAGGAGCCCCAGGCCCCACAGGCACAGACAGCAGTGACAGAGGCACCCTAACACAGAAGCATTCCATGTTCCCCTCTCGTGCCACCTGTCTCCTTTTCCTCCTCTGTGTTCACCTCTTCTTCCTTCCTCTTTTCCGTTTCCAAAGGAGCAAGCCAAAACCTCAAGCCGGCACCCCCGGGGGCCGGGCACACTACAGCTGGGGTGCTGGGAGCCAGCTAGCTGCCCTTCCCCCAGCCTGAGGACTCTGGGGCCACAGGGTGTCTTCCTGCAACCCATGCCCACCTGGTCAAGCAGGGGCAGCAGCCAGGTCCGGTGCCAGCTGACCCGGTCATGGGACACTGTTCCCTTGTGCCCAACAGCCAGGCAAGACTGTGTCTTTCACCCATGGCCATTTGCAAAGACCCCAAAGACCCCTGTTCAGGTTCCTGCACATCCCGTGACTGTCCTCTCGCACGCATGCACATGCGAACACACAGACTCCCGCGCAAGGCCCGGGAACTGCCCCAGCCCCCCAGTTCCTGTGTCTAGCAGCTCCGTCATGCCATGGTGCTTGCTCAGGGGAAGCCATGCTCCCTCTGCTGGGCCCCCCAGGGACCTGGAGGTCCCCACTGAGCCCACGATGCCACGGAAACCCTTATTGGCTGACCCTCTCCCCAAGGGGCTTTTCCAGCTGGGAAGAGCTTAGAGCTAACAGCTGTGTCCTGCCGTGTCCTGGCCCCTTAGAGCCTTGGGGTCCCAGGGGGTGGGACTCCTCCCCCACTCCCGACCCACACCCGTCCCTCTTTTCACTGTTGCTTTCTATGTATAGCTCCCTAGACCTTCCACTTTTTTAAAAGCGCGTTTTGTGTAGAGAATAAGGAACGTCAATCTTTTTATTTTGCAATCCTGGGCCAGGTAAACGCCAGGAAGGCTAATTAACCTTTTAACTTTTTCCAGTGGCCACCTTTTGGTTATCAATGTACCTAGAAGTCTGTAAATTAGATTAAATTTCTCTTCTGGAAACACACCGAGGCAGGTGGCCAGCGTGCGTGTTTGTTGGGTGGACAGGCCAACTTTGGTTGCCAGCCAGGACTGGGATCAGCTCGGGGCTTCCCGCTGGCTGCCAAGCCAACCAGGCCCAGCTGCTGGCCCTCAGTACCCTGGGTGGTGGGAGCCTGGCTGGCTGAGGTGGGAACAGAGATGAGCCAGGGCTCCAGGAAGCAGGTCTGGGCAGGGAGCCAGGGCTGGGGTGTGACGACAACTGTAAGGATTTTCCAAGGACAGGGCCTGTCCAGCAAGAGTGTGGCACCTAAAAGGGGAAGGAGGCAGAAGCATGCAGTGGCCAGCAGCATTCCTGGGGGCCTGCAGGAAGTACCTACCTGGAGACAGTGACTTCTATGAAAACACTTGCACCCTGAATCCTGAGGGCCTGAGGGAAGGAAGGGAAGCTTTGACGCCCTTGCCATGCTGTTTACATCCTCCAGACACAGAGGTTTGCTGAGCTTTTTCTGTGATTGCAAGATACCTTGTTGGCAGCCCTTGCTGTTGATCACATGTAGTTTTTAAGTGCACCGTTGTCACCAAATCCCTGGGTGGCACAAATGGTTCAGTTCAACTACTAACCTATAGATTGGTGGTGCAGACTTACCCACTGGCCCCAAGGAGGAAATGCCTGGAGATCTGTCTCCGTCAAGATTGATGTTAAGTATCATTGAGTGAGTTCCAATTCCTAGCAACCCTGTGTTGCACAATGCAGTGAAACACTGTCTGGTCCTACACTATCCCCATGATCAGCTGTAGATTGAACAATTGGGATCCAGAGAATTTTTCGCTGGCTGATTTCCTAAAGTTGATCATCAGTGCCATCTTTCTAGTGTGTCTTACTCTGGATGGCTGGTACCGGAATTGGTAAAAAGGTTGGAGGGTGAGGTGTCTGACTTCCACCTGATAGGAGTCAGCCATGGACTGCTGCTATTTCTCTCTCCTCCCTTATGAGGTTAGAGATCGTCAGATGCCTCCACCAAGTCATTTAATCAGCAGATGAGGATTTACTATTCTTTCATCATATGGTTGGAATTCTCCTTGATAAAAAGCCATCTCTTCCACAGCACTCTGCTTCTCTCTCTACTGAGTTCGATAATTCATTACAATGGCCACACACAACTCACAGACCATTCTCACAACACAGGGTTTATTAGGGAAGTAACATGCTATAAAGGAGCTCTGGTAGCGTAGTGGTTACGAATCAGGCTGCGAACTGCAAGGTCAGCAGTTCGAAACTACCAGCTGTTCCCTGGGAGAAAGATGAGGTGTTCTGCTCCCGTAAAGATTTACAGCCTCAGAAATCCTGTAGAGGGTCACTATGAGTCAGAACCAACTCCACGGCACATAACAACAACATACTATATAATTCAGCATCAGGAATGACTCAAAATACAGTTCTTAGGTCAGGACAGCTTCTTGGCCAGGCCCACAGGCAGGTCTCTGCCTGGCCCTTGACCTGTGGACCCTCTTTTCTGTCATCTCTTGGGCTGACTCAGCCTCTGCACTGCGCAGACAAGTGTTAAGCGAAGCCTGCTAGTAAGTGCCTGCGACACCCCACTCCACCAGTAAGCCTTGGTCTGCAGGCGCTCAGCTCTCTCCATTGGTGGCCTGTGGGTTAACAAGTCTAGCTCTGCTGACAAGTGCCCAGAGCCTCCTGCCCAAAGGCACTCAGTTCTTCAGTCTGGGTTGGCACACCCACTGTAACAACTCCATGGGTCAGGAAGCTCATGCTGGTGGTGTCCTGGTTCTGCTGCCACCATTTCTTTGCCGCTGCTTCTCACCATATTGCACCATCTCTGGTGTCTCTTATGGGTCTAAAAGGTTCTCAGCATAGGGACCTTAGGTTCAAATGATACAGTACGTGCCCATCTCTTCTCCATAGTAATGCAGTTCCATCCACCTCTGGAATGGCTCATTTTAAGCCTAGTGGGATGACAAAATTGACCAGTCCCCTCCTTAGGGGTGCATATACTTTATTTGCATGCCCCCCCACAACAAGGGTACTATGCACCTTATTTGCATTATTAGAGACTCCAATCTCTGATGAATTATAAGCACATCATTTGCATAGCCCCAGCACTATAGATAGGGAGCTCTGGTAGCGTAGTGGTTACGAATCGGGCTGCGAACCTTAAGGTCAGCGGTTCGAAACTACCAGGTGCTCCGCGGGAGAAAGATGAGGCTTTCTACTCCCGTAAAGATTTACACCCTCGGAAACCCTATACAGGGTCGCTATGGGTCGGAACCGACTCGATGGCACATAACAACAACAACAACAGCACTATAGATAGCGTAGTGTTTACGAGTTGGGCTGCCAACCTCAAGGTCAGCAGTTCTGTGGGAGAAAGATGAGGCATTCTGCTCCGGTAAAGATTTACAGCCTCAAACCCCATGCAGGATCACTATGAGTTGGAACCAACTCCACGGTACTTAACAACAACAACAAACACAGAAGCAGCAGTCAAGAAATCAAACGATGTATTAGGTAAATCTGCACAAGACCTTTTAAAGTGTTGAAAAGCAGAGATGTCAGCTTGAGGACTAAGGTGCGCCTGACCCAAGCCATGGTTTTCAATAGCCTCATATGGATGCGAAAGCTGGACAGTGAATAAGGAAGACCATAGAAGAATTGATGCTTTTGAGTTATGGTGTTGGAGGAGAATATTGAAAGTGCATGGACTGCCAAAAGAACCAATAGATCTGTTTTGGAAGACGTGCAGCCAGAGTGTTCCTTGGAGGCCAAGATGGCCAAACTTCATCTATCATACTAAGGACATATTGTCAGGAGGGACCAGTCACTGGAGAAGGATATCATGTTTGGTAAGGTGAGCATCAGAGAAAAAGAGGAAGACCCCCAACAAGATGGATTGACCAAGTGGCGGTATCGATGGATTCAAGCATGGCAACAGTAGTGAGGTTGGCCCAGGATCGGGCAGTGTTGCGTTCTGCTGTGCATAGAGTCACTATGGGTCGGTACCAACTCAATGGCACCTAACAACTGCAAACAACAGCCCAGTCATTTGATGGAAGTTACAAAGAGGTAAGAAAGGCCATATGAAAGTGGTTTATTGCACCACTGGCCACTTCCTGGCTTTTCTAGACCTGGTTCCTTCATACTTGGAGAATAACTTGGCCCTCCTAATCATTTTACCAGTCCAAATCAGAAACTTAACAGTTAGTTCTTTAGTAAGACCCAGAACCTTCAGGTTGTGGTTACTCAGGTACCAGCAATTTAGGTCAGCAACACGGTGGGATAATGCACTGCACCATAAGGTTTGAACTGCAAGGTCGATGGTTGAAATTCACCAGCTGCTCCTCAGAAACCCTATACGTCGCTATGAGTCTGAATTGATGCGAGGAGACTTAACAATACTCTGGTGTAGCACTATGGGATAAAGCACTGGACCACAAGGTCGGTTTGAACCACAAATCGATGGTTCAAACTCACCAGCTACTCCTTGGAAACCCTATACAGGGTCGCTATGACTTGGAACCGACTTGACAGCACTTAACAACACAACAATGACACACATATCCTGATCTGGGCGAGTTCACATCTTCACCCTTTCTGGCCTCTGATAGAATTTAACAGAGAAGATTACCCCCTTGCTCTGAGCTTCATGAGGTATCAACGTAACAAAATCTGTAAGAGACTTTAGATTCAGCCACTGTATAGCAATCCAGCAGTGTCTCCTACTCAGTGCACCCTTTCACACTTAGAGTTTCTACAATGACTGCTTTTTGTATCACAATAAGCTCTATTAACAAGCAGCATTCATAACTGGATCATATAATACCAGCATCTCCCACAGACCCATCAGGAAATCAGGAAACTTTTCTGGGACCCTCTCTTATCCTCATTTGAGTGTAAGCACACCCATGAAAATACGTAAGCCAAACATTTTATTTGTCTCCATTTTAGATAGGCAATGTTTTAACTGTCCATTGCTACCAAGCCAGTATTCTAAGGTGACAAGAATGTTACTTGGTCTGAAGAATCTTCTGTTCCAGTTGGAACCAGTCCAGAGCAAACCATCCAATTGTAGCAATCTACACCAGCGCACCCACCACTCGTCTGTCAACTTGTCGTACTATGGTGGCTGGCATGTTGCTGTGATGCTGGAAACTATGCCATAGCTATTTATAGATACCAGCAGTATCATACACAAAGGACAGGTTTCAGCTCAGCTTCCAGTTGAAGACAGACTAGAAAGGAAGAGAGATGGACTGCTTCCAAGTATTTAGTCACTGAAAACCTTATGAATAACAGTGGAACACTATCAACACCAGATCACTGAATATTGAAACACAATGAAGAGCCCCAGAAAATTGTCAAATATAGTGCTGAAAGAGCCCCACTGGTTGAAAGGCACTCAAAATATGACTGGGAAAGAGC